TGGGAGCTTAACTAACACTTGTTAGCTAATCGGGCATCCATCTAATTCATTCTATCTAAAACAAACAGCTGGTTGTCAACAAATATTAATACAAAGCCTTTAACATCTTTTATGTTCTTAAAACTTCTTGAATAGCCAATTCAGAATCATTACCAATCAACAAAATAAGAACAAGCACCTATTTCCTCCACGCAACTGTGGAAGCAAAGGTTTTCACACGGGAACAATTCACTTTTCTTCTTTCAACTGCTATCCTTTTCTAATATTTATAAAAAAAAAAAAAGTGAGAAATGCTTGGAAAAAGAACAAAAAATTTAAAACGAAGGACCTTCAAATTTCCATGTGCATCTCAAACCCCTCCTTTTTTTGCTGCCATGCATTTTTGCTCTAATTCATAATCTATGAAGTAGAAAGTGGGTTGAGGCATGCAATTTACTTCACTTCCAAACCCTGCCTATATAACAATCACATGAAGGACAGGAAACACTCTGTCTTCCTTCCATTTCTTTCCCCGATTTATTATCCTTTCAGTCTCCTCATCACGAATCCAGCTTAGCTTATATGTGAATATCGGAGCCAAGCTTCAAATAGTTGGCATTCAGCTCTACCTGTCCGTTTGGGAAGTAAATGTTGGACAAAAGTAATTTTCTGTCTCCCTCAAAAAATTGTTGATTTATTCCGTTAGATATAAACAATCCGCTTTTCAAGCAAAATATCTGTCTACAGAAGTTGAATGGTTCATTATGTCAGTAGCATGTAGCATCCTCTGATAAGCTTAGATAAGTTAACATTTTCTTTCTCACGAATAACAAATTCGCTGTCTTAGTATACGTATACTGTTCTAGCAAATAATTTAATGGAGATTCAGCTTCACTCTGCCTATTTCTCCTCATAAAAATTTAAAAGCAAGTCAAAACCTAGCTGTCAGAAACTACAAGGCTTTGACAGACTAAATCCCCCACACAACTCCTTCACATTTCTCATTTTCCATTTCTAAGTTCTCGAGTAATTAAACAGTAACAAAATCAGCAGGAATTAAATAAGATGATATCAAAATACAAATCCACAACGCTAACCTTGAAGAGCAGTGTCCTGAGCCTCGCAGACGACTCGTCCACCGCGTCCAGACCTCGAACTAGGGCCCTGCGGCACCGATCTAACGAACTGGATAACTGAAGTAGGCGTCACCTTGAGGCCTTTGAACTCCGGCAACCTCGTCAAGGATCTTCGTCTACCGGATACGGAAGAAACCGCCGAGGAAGCCGACGGAGCTGCGATAGGCAAGGCGGAAAAGCGCGTAACAGCAACGGAATCGAGCACTGCGGCCATGGAAGCAGTAAGACAAGGAGAAGTCGAAGGAGATGGAGAGAAATGAGAAGGTGAAAAAGATAATGGAGATAAGCGAGAGCGGTGAGTTTGTTTGTTATGGAGATTTTTGGATGATGAGAGAGACAGAGAGGAAGAGGTGGATGGGGGAGTGAAGATGATTGGTTTGGAGCTTCTCAGGGGATACTCAGCAGTCGGGACACGTCGACCAATCATTGCCAGCCACGTGTACTCTTGTCTTTTTTTTTTATAGATTTTAAATTATTACATTTAAAAATTCATAATTTAATTATTTTATAAATTAAAACTTATCCTTAATTATGAATTTAAATTCCAAAATTATAAAATTCAATTAATTTAATTTTTAAATGAATTATCTTATTTTTCTTTTTTTATTTAATTTAGTTTATTTTTTTTTTCCCAAAAATAATTTTTTAATTGTTTTTAAAATTTTATTTCAGTGTCATAATTTTCTACAGTTAAATGAGTAAGGTGGAATAGCATTCAACTGTAAAGAAATCACTGGTTCAATTCCACCATTAGTAGGAGCACAAACCATAGATTCTTATACACAAAACCAGGGAAACAGTGTACATAATGAATGAAATACAGAATCCAAATCCGCCAGTTAATGACAGTGGTTCATCTAAAGCTTTATATATAATCTGGAATGAAAGAAAGGACTCTCTACTATGTGCAAATCTTACACCTACGAAATAACGGCAAGCACGCCTCCTATACCTCCCGATGAAATCATTCAAAAACCTTATTTCCGGAAAATGACAATGACAAACAACCTACAAAGTCCCACAACAGATGAAACCGATGAAATTTTTTTTCTAATGAAAATCTCATTCCATCATTTAAAGACGGTAAACATGCCTCCTGAGTCCCGGATGAAACCGATTGAAATCCATTCTAATGAAGATCTCGTTTCCATCATTTTGAGAAATTAAGACAGGTTTCTTTGGCGCATTAGAGATTCTATCTTTTCAACATCTTCAGGAGTGTCAACACCGTGAGCTTCGTGGTCAACCTTTATTACCTGCGTAAAATGAATGCCTTTTACCCTTTTGTTGCAACACGGACAAAACAATGTGAAACTAACTATTGGGTTTTAATGGATTTAATAGTTAGAACATACAAAGCTAGAGTGATTCAGAACTCACAGCAAATCACAGTGTTATCATCCGTAAGTTATGTCCTTAACAAATTAATTTTATTATGGAATTAATTAGAAACTCAAACATATTTAAAATATGAGAGAACAGAGATCTCCAAAAAAATGATGAAAGTTGAGTTTCTAAATGATTCCTAATTGAGATGTTCAGTATATTTCAAATTCTGACATTTGTTTCGAACATAGCCTTAAGCTTCACTTTCCGAGAAGAAACTCTTTTGGAATTGCACCCATGACAAGCTAGTACCCTAACCTCGGATGAAATCATCAGTTTACATAGGAAAAGACTACCATGATTCAGAGTAATTGCAATTGATTTGTGATTTTTAGCCAAGGAATAAAACAAGCATGCACACAACAGCATGTAGGTGAGTCTGCAGACATGCACTATGGATGTGGTATTGATTGGAAAATGTCACTTCAATAACAGATTTGAAATAGAGTTTTTAACAGAAGCTCTTGAAAAGGAAAATGGCATGGAATTTCTTTCTGATTGGGATTTAGCATATATCATTTCAACCAAGAAACTGTAGTACTAAATTAAGAAAAAGAAAAAGAATGAAAACACTAACAAAAGTTGGAAGTGCAGCATCTTTAACAGGGTAGTTGAAGATTGGAAGATGCAGGGGCATAGAGGTAAGAGTAATTCCACTAACCTTCATTTTATAACCATTCTCGAGGACTTTAAGCTGTTCCAAATCCTCTTCTAGCTGCAGCGGTGTGGGTTGAAGATCTGAGTATATCTTTAAAAACTTCGAATCATAACTCTGGCCAGACAAGGAAAACGGAGTCCTTTTAAATCATACAAATCAGAAAACTGTCTAGCATACAATAAAAAACTACATAATCCTGTTATCATACCCATGTTTTACAAATACCTGAATTCCAAGATGAAGCAAATATGGAAAATCTGGATTGACCTTCCCTGACCTGGCATTGAGTAGGTGTACATATTCATCAACTAGATTAACATGAAATTTAAAACAAATTCAAAGATCTGTTCATATATAAACTCACTTGTTAAATGGAATTAAACCCCTTGAGAAGTAAATAGCATATCCATGATTATCCACAATACATTTCACTCTATTTGGATCAAATGCATCTTCGGGTTTCAAAGCTGTAACAGCAGTGCTAAACACTGCATCTGGGGCTGACTGCAAAGGAATGGATAAAATTTTATTATGCAAGATACATTAGAAACATCTCAAAACGATTTGCTGAAAGCGATAGATGATTAATTTGAAAGGACGTTTCAGGGATAACAGATTAAAAACTTCAACAAAATTTAACTATTAACACAGAAAAAAGGGCATGTTTTTGTTGTTTAAGATAATATCTCAATAAAAATGAACTTCAAAAAGCCAATATAGATCTTTTGGCCACGATTTGGCACAAACGACAAGGCAAGGATACAAAAAAAGATTACCTGAAGAGCTCTAACAACACCATCTATTATCTCGGGTTCAATAAGAGGCTCATCGCCCTGAATATTGACAACTATATCATAATTCTTCGCCAGCTTCTGAAGTGCTTCATTGCATCGCTCAGTGCCTACAAGTTAAAGCGAATTTGACCCGTTAGCAAACTCCATCATATGAAAATTTTCCACAATTAGATAATTATAATAAGAATATAATGAAGTTACAAACCATTACGGCAAGATTCTGAAGTCATTATCACATCAGCACCAAATCCACGACAGCATTCAGCAATCTTTTCATCATCAGTTGCCACAACTAGACAGAAAATGAATAATGAGTTTGGTGCAAAAATTTAAACAACAGATGTGTACATGCTTGCACAAACACAGTGGGAAAACCAAGAAAAAAAAAAATATTTATGCTTCCAACAAGTTTTCCACATA